ATCAAAAAATAATAATAAAAGAATGTGGCAAACTATAAAAACAATAACTAACGTAGAACATCAAAAATCAAACTGTAATGAATTATTAAATATTAGGAATAGTGCAATGGAATCAGTGAACTATGTTAATGACTTTTTTGCAAATGTAGGAAGAAACAATGCGGAAGCTATTCAAAAAACCATGATAAAATCTTTTCCATGTATTGATTATCACAGATTATTAAACTCTTTTGCTTTTACAGAAACTACAAGTGAAGAGATAACAACTATCAACATGAATTTAAAATCTGACTGTTCGCCTGGTTTTGACTCCATTCCTGCAAAAGTACTTAAAGATAATATAAAAGCAATTGTACCGCCACTCACAGATTTATTAAATCACTGTTTAAAAACAGGTGTTTTCCCAAATTCTTTAAAGAAATCTGTGGTTCTACCAATACATAAATCAGGGCCAAAGAACTCTATAAACAATTACCGTCCAATTGCTATACAAACCTCATTCTCTAAAGTTTTTGAGCGAGTAATAAACAAACAACTCATAAGTTACCTAGGTGACTCTAGAGTCAAGGAAATTGTTGGCTGATACACAATACGGTTTTCGGGCTGGTAGATCTACTGATGATGCGGTTCATAATTACATACAAAGAGTTGCGAAGAAACTGGATGAAAACCAAAAGGTAATTACAATTTTCCTCGATATCAAAAAGGCATTCGATACTGTAGCGCTACCTATACTTCTAGACAAACTTGAAAGGATGGGAATTCGTGCAACTCAGCTAGATATGTTTCGTGATTACCTATCTAATCGTTCACAGATTATTAAAATTGGTAATAGCAGCAGTCGCAAAAAACCAGTCCGCTATAGAATTCCTCAAGAGAGTATCACTGGCCCGACTCTATTTTTTATGTCATATGAATGATTTGTGTAATTTGAAACTAGAAAATTGTGAAATAACATCCTATGCAGACGACACTGCACTAACTTTTACGGAGAAAGTTTTTAATTTTGCACAGAATGGCTTTAACACTGTTAGTAAATGGCTTTCCACTAATAGTCTGACATTAAATGCAGAGAAAACTAAATACATTTGTTTCTCTATTCGTAATTGTAGCATACCTTCAAATTTAAAGTTATTTGCTCATAAATATTCAATCCCATCTTTAACAACATGTCAATGCCCAATTATAAACGTTACTTTTGAACTACATGTATGTGAAGAACGTTTATATTCACCCTTCCAAATATAGATATTTTGGGTTTTCCATTATCGATATTATTTATATCCATGAATTTAACGTATCGATATTTTAGAGTAGATATAATCGATTTCACGATATATCGTTGTAACCCTAGATCAGGGTAATCGCTTATCATCGGGTGGGCATATGAGACAAGAGGAAAGCTCGTAAATACTTTAATTTATCTCACCTTCCTACCTAAGTGGAGTCCAGTCGCGAAGATAGCTTATGTGGCTTATGTACGAGTAGCTTAAAATCCTGAAACCAATCTCCCAGTGAAGCTCTGGAACCTTACTCATCAACCAAAATATAACATGATCAAAAGGTAGTGTTAATTATAGATTCCCTCAAGGTTGACAGCCTACAATTCGAGAAGAAATTCAACGTCCAGTCCAAAAATAATAATACACATATAATAATAACGGCTAAAAGAAGCAAAATCGGCTTGTTTCATCACAAATGCTCAAAGCTTAATTAACGAAACTAATTACGCGATCAGCAACATAATCATTGGAGATCGCATTTCAAAGGGTCGACGTCTCGTACTGACATTATCCCGAATTCCAGGCGCTGTCGCTGGCACGACTCCGGGAAATTGTCTCAGCTGGCTGCGCTACCCTTTAAATTTAATTTCGTGTAACATTCAATTATTTCTAAGCTTGGGGTACTTAGGTAGAGAAAATTATTTACCGATATCTTGGGTCTTGGTACATACATTCAAGTTTCATTGCATAGTAGGGATGATGACGGGTGTAAATTAAACGAAATTTTATTGAGTCCGTCAGTTATATTTTCAAAAAACAATGGTAAAGGTTAAATTTTTCTTTTGTCAATCGACCCCAATAACATATATATAGCGGATCATGCCTTGATCACACGAACCGAATAAGCGGGCGAGATAGTAAAATGTTTCTCAGCTGAGATAGTGATGGAAGTTAAAACTCATGTAAGAGCGCTCGGCCGCTAAGCGCTTTGTTTATACGTACCGAGTACTCGGCTCGGCGGTGTGATCAAGGCATCAATGTTTGGGAGTACAGGCTTTTGACGTCACTTCTCAGTAAAAACTGTACAAAGACGTGACGTCATGCTACATTAAAAATCAATATATCTCTTTAATGTTTTGATTTTGTGAAAAAAATATATGTCCAATATTTTTTGAAAATGTACCTGATAGATAAAGAAAAAAAAATAGTCATTATCTTTATTGCCCACCAGATTTTTGTACCATCTTCTTTCAGTCCAGAATACATCTATTAAATAAAATTTATGTCTGTCCATCCATACGCCGCGTTGGTATTTTATGAGCCGTATATAGATAGTTAAGTATTATTAAATAAGAAACATCTCTATTTGCCGTTTTTTACTCGACCTAAACAACCACTGTATTTTGAATGTAAACCCGTGTATAATAAATAATGTACGAATCCTTTGTTTGTGGGCCCGGCTAACTGGTCTGTTTTTTTTAAACTAAAACAACATTTTTTCCACAAAGAGATAGTTAATATAAACTGCAACAGGCGCCTTATACAAGTGGATTTCTTTCTTTGAATATTATCGTTCAAATGCAAAGAAAGAAATAACGAAATTACTAACTTTAAAGTTTTAAAATAAAAAAAATAAGCTATACACAATAACGTATAATATATAGACAGGTGATACGCTAATATTATTTATTGCATTTTTAAATGGCACAAGTTGTCCCCAACTTCCCAACTTCCCTTGGCAACAGCCGCCAATAGAGCGCACTAAATTAGTCTCTTTCACTCTCATGCATTAAGCAGGACTCGCTCTTTAGCCTCCATGTGTCAACAGTGTCAGTAACTGTCAAAATAAGTAATCACTAAATATTTATACACTAATTTCTTTAAACTTTACTTATAAATGAAATGACACGTTTCTCTTGTCTGTAATAGTATTACCCGTGTAATTTGTGTACTGCCTTAAAATACACAGGGCATTTTGTCTAAAAAAACGGGAAATATTATCACGTTGCAGCGAAGTGTAGGCGTGGCGAGAGAGTGTACCCGGGCAATTGCCCGACTTGCATTCAGTCGGGTACGAAAGTCAGTCATTGCCATATTAGAAGCATGTATGACGTATCTATAACTATAAAACATCATAGGCTATACACAATGATATTATGTTTCGTGAGCTTATTGTGTGGGATTTTTAAGCTTGCGATTTAAGTATAATTATAGGTATAACAGTTTATTTTAGCATTAGCTCTAATAGAAAGATGGTCACTTGTCTACGGCGCGGCGCCATCTTATGTTCATCAATGTCAACATTTTATAACACCATGGCAACTAAGTGAAATAAGTGATAGTGGTTAAATTTTCAACAATCTCGAGCACACAATACTCTTGGGAGGGACCGGCCAGCGGTCGCCTTCATAGAAAAGGTCGCTATCAACAAGTGGGTCGTTTTCAAGGAAATTGCAAACACATTTATGTAAGTAACGTGCTCGTGGTTTTGCTATAATATCTACGTAAACTTACGATGTATACCTACACTTGGACTGATAAAACAAATAAAATCAAATTGGACGTACAAAAGATTGGGACAGCTGGTGAAATAGCATGAAGTATACATAGATGATTACGACAGAACACAGAAGTGTGTATTACATTGTAGTTAAAGAAAATTGACAATTAACCGTGAAATCCTAGGTTCTTGGTTTGTATTGTGCGTTTAAGATAGTTTTTGAAACATAATACAAACATACAAAATTGTTGGATGGTTTACAAGCAGCATTTAAAATAAAAGCTTAAGTTTACTATGCGTCCTATAATTTTTTCCACCTTAGCGATAGTGGTGTTTAGAACATAAAAAACAGAATAACAGAATTAATAATACAGTAATTTGTGGCAGTTAATTAAATCTTGAATAAAAAAAGCTTTTTTCAACCGTGCGAAGCCAAATTTGGCTCTAGTTTTCAGTATTTGCAGGTAATACACGCATTATTGGACTAACAGAGAATGATTTTAGCTGAAATTTGTTCTTTTTTTGGTAGCTGAAAGTGAGTTTCGTAACTTTCAAAATTAACAAAATATTCAAAATTGAATATCTCGGTGAATTAAATATCAATTTACATGTTTCACAGATATTATTATATTATCTTATTATTGCGTCTTCTTTCAAGTAATAATTTAAATTTTCTAAAATAGAGAAATTTCACCACGAAAGTTGCGCTCTTCATAGAATTACCCACCTTAATTCTAATGAATATGATAAATACCACTTAGTATTTCTAAGCTCTAAAACCTAAAATAAATAAAAGATTTCCATGAGAATTTTTTCTCTTTGATAAAACATGATAAAAAAAATATTTTGAAGTTTCATTAAAATCCCTCCGTTACGCATGCCAATATCATGTGGCTCTTTTACACTCTGAATCTGAGGTCTTTCTGGGTCATTTCACACATTGTTCACTTTTTTATTTGGATAAAACTCGTGTTTTAGGCAGAGGGTCAAATTAATATCGGTCGCTGGTTATTTTTAATTTGAGCGAGAGAGACTTTTGCTGCTTTCAAACTTATCGGATCCTGATAATTGACGCCCCTGAAATTGTGACATTGATATCAGAGTCACAATCACAACAGCGTTTCGGTTTATAATATAGCTTATCTTCTTCATAGATTCATAGATGTAAAAGGACATCAACGATGCATATAAAAATAATTATTATTATTATAGACATTGCAATAACAAATAGTGAAAACTTAAGACAGAAATACACAGAAAAACTACAAAATACATACCACCTACTGATAGTTGGATGCACCAGCATACAGTTAAAATTGTTCCAGTGATACTTTCATCCATCCAAAATCACTTCACACATCACTAAAAGAAATAGGTTTACAAAATAACAATTTCACACCATTACAGAAATCAGTTATCATCGACACCCTGCATAGTCAGGCGACTATTCACATCAAACACACAAAAACCCACATCAATACAACGAAGCGACTCACTTGGCGTAGCCCGCGGTCGGTACTCACCACCACTACTATAAGTACTGAGAATAATAATAATTTACCAAATAATAATAAAGTTCATTTGTTCACTCCATTTACAGTTTCACTTTACCTTGGTACATGCTCGTAAAAAGTATGGTTCTAATAATGAAGTTAACGTTAGCAGTTGTAATAATATGAACTGTGTCACAGCTGTCTGCGTCTTCCAGCAAAACAATAACAGCAATTCACCTACTCATGAACAAAGAAAATTTAAATAATAAAGAAAAGTCTACAGATTTTTTTTACTAGAGATATAAGAAAGAAACATACAATATTAGATACAGATATATTTTAATATAGCAGTTCCTACACTTCAAAGACAACACATTTTGCATTGCTTGAGTCTACATTGTTAGTAGTAGAGTCCTATAAACAGAAATACACCTTTTTTTCTCCAACTAGTGAATGTCAGTGATCAGTTACGCTATATTTTCGTTCTTGTCAATTGAAGGACTCCATATGGCGGCCATTAGACGGCAGGCTTTGCTGTCTGTTTACTGGTAGTCAAGGTTGTGACTAATGGATAACGTACTAACCAATGACTTTAAAGTCACCTACCATTATTATCATTAATGAGTGATGGAATTGACTGACGGCTGCAAAGCATCTAATGGACACCTATTATGTCTAATTAAACAGTTTTTACTTGATAGATTGATACCTATCAAATAAAAACAGGACAAGTGCGAGTCGGACTCGCGCACCAAACCCCTTATTTATAAACAAGGAATAAGCTTAGAGTAGTTACGCCGTGTTTTGTTCATGTCACTCAACTGCCATTTGTCATTCAATAGACAGAGACAAAATATGGAGTAACTAATCCTAGCGTATTGTTCGTTTATTAATAAGGGAGCTAGGGTTCTGTAACATATGTGATTACTTAAAATTTAAGGTTTTCGCAACATTTTCTTTATCTGTGCTATAAGACGTTGCTTCGTACCAAATTTCAAGATTCTGAGTTCACGGGAAGTACCCTGTACCGGTTTTTATTCCCCTGCGAGTTTCAAAAATTTGCGGAAATTTGCGGCATGAACGGTTGTATCTTTTGATTGCGTTGGCTTAGGTGTTTGATTTTTTCACAGCTCCAACGGACAGTAGACCTGAGTATAGCTTGATACCTTCACTCGTTGAGAATTCTCTGAGAAAATGCGCCTTGACAGACGGACGGACGGACAACAAAATGATCCTATATGGGATTCATTTTTTCCTTTCGAAGTACGAAACCTTAAAAATCGGTTAAATTAATTTGAGTGACATTTTGCACCTTGTTAATTTGTTAACTGAACTGAAGCACCGTATACTTTCATCCCGGAAAAAGATACTATGGTATAATAAATAATTGGAGAAATAGCTACCATATACCTTGATTTTTACGAACTCTCCATATGTCGGCACTATCACAAGTACCATAAAGACTTCGTCAGAGGTAGATTATGTCTGCCAATAACATTATATCCGCAATTACTTAAGCTACTCCATGATCAGTGCCTTCGCGAAAGTGCCGAAATATCGGGGACTCGCACAAAACAAGAAAGAATTAACATAATAGGCTAGATAGTATGCCGAATAAAGTACCAATTTATTGGCATGTGTATTTAACATGAATATTGGGAGTGATTTCACTATTCTATTAATTTCGTTTTTTTACTGATATACGGCAACAGAATTATGTCCTAGGTAACACTGAAAATGTTTAGAAAATGAAAAACGGCTTAATGTAGGAAGTTGCCAATACTTTTATTGTTTTTCGAAGTAATCCTCGTTCCTCTCTACACATCGTCGCATTCAATGGAACCACTGAGAAAAGCAGTTGGCCCATTCTCTCTCTTCTATGGCATATTCGTACGCTTTCACCGCATCTTCAGGGCTCGTAAAGCGAATACCTCGAATTTTATCTTTAGTTCTTGGGAATAAATGAACGTCGCAGGGCGCCAGGTCAGGACTTTATGGCGGATGACTCATTATCTCGACACCTGCCATAGTCAAATATTCACCAGTCCGTTTTGCGGAGTGCGCTGAAGCATTGTCGTGGTGAAGGAGGATCCTGCTTCGAGGGCACTGCTGTCGAATTTTTTCCAAGCCAACAGGCAAACAACGATTGACATACCAGTCTGCAGTAATTGTCCTTTCATCTTCTAGCACAACTGTCGCGAAATGACCTTTCCGACCAAAGAATGAGGCAATCATCTTTTTTCCTTGACTTCTTCCTTTCTTTACCTTAGTTGGCGGATCCTCGAAAGGAAACACCCACTGAGCTGTTTGTCTTTTGGTTTCGGGTTCGCAGCAATATATCCAGCTGTCATCACCTGTGACGATGTCAAATACAGCATTTGAGTCACAGCCGTTGAACTTATCTTACATTTGGCGACACCAGACCATGCGAATGTGTTTCTGGTCGTCGGTTAAAGTATGGGGAATCCATCTGGTACAAAGCTTCCTGACGCCTCAATGTTCGTGTATTATTTTTTGAACTTGACTCATACCAATGCATAGGCTTGTCCGTATCTGCTGATAGGTCACTCTCTTATCTTCCTCTATCATGCGTCGCACAGCACTGATGTTATCTTCAGTAGTCGCTGTTAAAGGACGTCCCTCACGCGGATCATCATTGAGATTGCTACGTCCACGCTTAAACTCGTTAAATCAATTGTAAATAGTGGCACGAGATGGGGCTTCATTAAGAAATGCTAATCGCAGCCTATCATAGCTTTGTTGTTGAGTAAGCCCACAACGAGAGTCATAATAAATCATTGAAAGAAAATTTTCTAGGTTCATTTTCACGTGTAACAAGAGTTTTAGATGTGCCGCGAATTCACAAAAACAAATGACAAATGAATACAATACTACATTAGGTTACCAAAGAGTTCTAAAATTAAAATTAAGAAAAGTTTTCATTAGCCATGTTTCTAACTGGCCAATTCTAAATATTTTCAGTGTTACCCACGTATATCCACTTTGAATGGAGTTACTAAACATTAACAAAATAACGTATGAACATTTTCAAAAACTTGTCAAATAGCCTATAGCAATCCCGCTTATTATTTTAATGTTAGTAACCATGAAAATTTTGTTAGCTAGCTATAAAACATGTAGGTATGTAATGAAGATTTGTACATTCGTTTTATTGATGAGCATCATCTGATATCGAAGGACATTAGTAGATTGAATAAAATAAATTTTATAGCACCGCATACAACACACAGATTGGTATCTGGGTTAACACAGAACAGCTATCTACGCGATAACGATCACATAAACATGACTGCCGTGTCGAAGTTGAGTGATTAAATGAATAACGTGGGAATTTAACGATTTCCAATTAAAACATAAACCAGCATGTCGCGTTGCATAACAACATTCTAATTAAAGTTTTAATAAATGTAAGAAAAAGTGTTGTACATACTATCGAGATAACTATCGAGACTTCCGTTTCCTCTCTTTGTTTGCCGGCTCTCAAAACTGTAGTTACGTTGTATTTAACTCTGCTTTTAATTAATTAAATAAACGAAGTTAAACCTCATCGGATGTTTGATTCTCATAACCCATCAGGTTATGGGCACAGGCAATCGTTTTCATTGTTATAAGCAGTTTTGAGAGCAAAAAGTAGTTATCCGAGTGCTCACACACGCATGCTCAGTACGACGCCATTATACCGGCAACGTTACGCTTGTGGAAGAGAAATGGATACAAGTTCTATAAAGAGATTCGACGAAACTCACTACAGGCAGCGGAAGTACATAGTTCTACGGGCCGTGAGGGCGAAAGACCTTGAAAGTCATATTTCAGGAGACTCTACTGGAACATCTAAAAGAAAAAGAAATAGTAACGTGGTGGCAAAATAATGCAAAAGCGATGTTCCTTATTACCTCAGCCATGGAAATGGGGCAAATAGCTATGATAGAAACATCCACAATGAATCTTCCCTCCCTTCGTGGATAGCTTAGAATTGGTGCAGAACAAAGTAAATCCTTTAACTTCGTGTACGAACGCTGCCGGCGTCTGTGTCCCAAACGAAATTTCTCTTCCATGAGACGATGTAATGGCCTGGCTATCTCAGAGAAGCTCTTTAGAAATCTGCGGTAGTACGCACATAGGTCTAGAAAAGCTCTCACTTCAGTTTATTTCTCGGTGTTGGCCATTCCTGCACAGCTTTTACCTTTTCAGGATCAGTTTGAACACCCTTGTCAGATATTATTATGCCAAAAAGCCTACCTCCTTCTTGAAGAACGCGCAGTTTTCTGGATTGAACATCAGGTTTGACTCGCGGAATCTTCTGAATACTTTCTCTAGATTCCTCCAGTGTTCCGTGAAGCTGCGTCCCATAACGATCACATCGTCCAGGTATACCAGACAAGCATCCCCCAATAGCCCCACTAACACACGTTCCATGAGTCGTTCAAAAGTGTCCGGTGCGTTGAACAATCCGAAGGGCATGACCCGAAACTGCCACAGCCCTTTTCCAGTACCAGTAGTGAATGCTGTCTTCTCTTTATCCTCTGGGCAAAGTCCCACCTGTCAGTAGCCACTCTTCAGGTCAACTGTGGAAAACCACTTCATGCCTCCCAACATGTCCAATGTGTCGTCAATACGAGGCAATGGATAGCTGTCCTTCTTTGTCACATTGTTCAGCATCCTGAAATCCACGCAGAACCTGGTGCTGCCATCTTTCTTCTTCACCAATACTACTGGACAAGACCAGGGGCTAGTTGATTCTTCGATGATCTTATCACGTGACATCTTCTCAATCATGTCCGCTACTTCCTGTTCTCTTGCCAGAGGCACTCGTCTAGGTCTTTGCTTGATAGGCTGTGTATCACCGGTTTGGATTGAATGCTTGACAAGACCAGTCCTCCCAAGGTCATTTTCTCCGTTTGAAAAGATGTCCTTGTAGTCTAGTAATAATTGCTTGGCTTCATTATACAAATTAGGTGGCAAACTTGTCTTCATTTTTTCCAGTACTCATGTGCCTCGTTGAATATGGTTCTCTAGAGCATTCTTGGGTTCTTCTCATGTAGTCTACATTTACGCATCTTCCAATGACCGTGTTCTTCCATAACTGTATCGCAGCGTTGCTAGTGTTTACGATTTTTATCCTTGCCCCTCTTTTGGTCATGATCAAGGTTCTAGCCGAGATCCAACTAGGGTGACTCCCGGTATCTTCTACCACGACACATCGATTCGGTGACGTCCCTTCCGGAAGCTTAACTTCCACCAATGTATCTGGTAGGGTAACGGTTCTGGTGTTGTAGACTACTGATGGAGGGTTTACTTCCAGAAATATTTCTTGATCCGGAAAACTCAATACTCCTCTAGCGATATCCACCACACACTGCTGTGATCGCAAGAAGTCCAGTCCGAGTATACAGTCGTCCGTTATGTTAGCGACCAAGACGCTTTGTCTGTAGATCTTGTCTCCTAGTTTCAATGTGATGTCTGTCACTCCCAGGACGGTCACTGGCTGGCCTGTAGCTGTTTGTAATTGACATGCCGATTTTATACCTTCCCACATAATTTATTTATTTATTTATTTATTAAGGGATAAGAAACGGTTACAATATGTGTTTT